GGAGATCTATCCATTGATGTCAATGGGGTGTTAAAATTCCCTACTATGACTGTGTTACTGTCAATATCTCCCTTTATGTCCATCAAGATTTGCTTTACATATTAAGTGCTCCTACATTGGCTGCATGAAAGTTTATAGTTATATCCTCTTGTGAGATTGCTCTTTTTATCATTACGTAGTGTCCTTTTTTGTCTCTTACTATAGCCTTTGTTTTAAAGTCTATTTTGTCAGATATAAGTATTGCTACCCAAACTTTAAAAAAAAATTTCCAGTTGCATGAAATATCTTTTTTCCATCCTTTTACTTTTAGTCTTTGTGTATCTTTCCTTCTGTGGTGGGTCTCTTATAGACGACATATAAATGGGTCTTGCTTTCTTATTCATTCAGCTACCCTATGTCTTTTGATTGGAGGATTTAAGCCATTTATATTTAAAATGATTATTGACAGGTACATATTTCTTGGCATTTTTTAACTATGTTTTCTTCTTCCTATTCTTTTTTTCCTCTTCTTAAAGCAAGCCCTATAATATTTCTTATAATACTGGTTTGGTGGTACCAAACTCCTTCAGCCCCCTGGAAAGCTCCCCCTGCCCCCCTGCCCCCTGGGAAGCTTTTTATTTCTCCTTCAATTTTAAATGATAGCCTTGCTGGGTTAGGGGTTAGGGTTAGAGTTATAAGGCCCCCTAAAAATGAAGCAGACCTCAGGGCCCACCATGTTCCCCATTGATCTTAGTTGTCCAGATTTGGACTCACCACGCTCCCCAGGTATCCTAGTTGTCCATTCTGGGGACTGTCATGACCCATTGACAATATCATAAAGGGTGAAGAGACTGTAGACAGATAAAAACCACCATTGAGGCTGAAGATGTGCTCTTGAACTGAACATTCATGACAGTTTAGCCAAATACATGAAATGCTCTCATTTCCTTAAAGCTTTATAAATGACCAACAGAGAACATATATTATTTTTTAAGCCTATATTTCAAGTATTAAGAAAAAGTAACCATGATGTGATTATAAAGGACCAGCCCTAAGTAAATCCCCAGTTCCCGCTGCCAAAAGGGATATTCAGTGATGTCACAAGGGAATTTCCTATAGGACTCAAAGTGCGCTCTCTCTGTGGTACAGGCAAGGCCTGAGGTTCCAGAGGTCCGCAGGGGGCAGGAGGAGGAAGGCAGGGCATACTCTGAAAAAGTGAATAGGTATAGAACTCACTAGGAATATCAGAAAAGACTGCTTATGAGCACAATTTACAATAGCCGAGATCTGGAAACAGCTCAAATGCCCACCAGTAGATGAGTGGATAAAAAAAGCTGTGGTACATTTATACCATGGAATACTAGGCAGCAGTAAAAAAGGAGAATCTCTTACCCTTTAAGACAGCGTGGAGAGACCTGGAGAGTATCATTCTAAGTGAAATAAGTCAGAGAAAGACACGTATCACAGTGGTACCTAAGTAACAAAATAAACCGATGAACGGAGTGGCTCCAGAGACATGGAAGCATGAAACAGAGTGAGGAATCCGAGAGGGAAGGCGGGAGAGGGTGGGTGGGTAGGAGGTAATCAACCAAAGACCTTGTATGTATATATGCATAGCCCATGGACACAGACAATAGGGTGCTGAAGGCCTGGGGCGGGGGCGGGGGGTGGTGGATTGAAGGGGGTTAATGGGGGGTAAAGGCCTGTGTAATACTTTCAACAATAAATATTTAAAAAGAAAAAAAAGAAAAGACTGCTTAAGACTAGACTCCCACCCAAGCCTTTGTCCCCCAGTCCCAATGCCCACTCCTAAGATCAGAACTTGACCTCCACTAACCCATTCCTGGCTTCTGGGTGTAACATACATGCTTCTAACTTGTGGAGAATGGAGACTGTCTATTTGGGGCACATAGAACAGATAGGGTCAAGACAAAACATAAAAGATTTAAAGAAAATGAGGAAGTGCTTAATTCTTGAATGTGAAACTACTGAACTGGTCTGTCAAAATGTGTGTGTGCAATGGATGTGTGTGTATGTGTAGACGGCATGTATCATAAGTCTCTGAAGTTTTTCTAACTTTAGAAGTGTAAATGCTATCATAAAACATATGATTTGGAGCTTTAATTTTTATTATACTTATTTCATTTTGTGAATTTTAAATAACAAATCATTATTTCCAAGTGAAAATGGCAAAGGTTGATGAAAACAATAACAAATTATAGAGACAAGTTTAAATACTTAGATAAGTATAAAGTAAGGGTCTACTTCTGCATGATGAAAGTAAAACTTATTACGAGGGGAAAATAGGTTGAGATTGTAACAACGTGGATGAAACTGAAGGGCATTATGCTAAGTGAAATAAGCCAGACAGACAAAGACAAATAGTGCATATTGTCACTTATATGGGGAAGTAAAACACACACAAATGTGAACTCACAGAAAGAATAAAAAGTGCTGCTAGAGGCTGGGGCTGGTAGAATCAGCAGAGAGAAGCTGGTCACAGGGTACACATTTTCAGTTACAAGATGAAGAAGACCTGGAGATCTAATAGTTGATCACACTGCATCGTATCTGAAATCTGCTGAGAGTAGAACTTAAATATTCCCCCACAAAAAAATAAATAAATAAAAGTAAACATGTGCGGTGAAAAAAAATGGAGTTGAGGACAGAGGAGATTCTGATAGTATCAATCCCTGTGAAATAGCCCAAATTCCCAAGAGAACTTCAGACTTTCAAAAGCTATGAAATTGGAGTTTGGTGGATTCCAACCAAGAGCACCAAGAGACACAGAAACCAGGCAATACCTGGCTTCCAAGTGGAGTACATAGAAACTGATCAAGGTCTAGAACAGTGGTTCTCAACCTTCCTAATGCCGCGACCCTTTCATACAGTTCCTCATGTTGTGGTGACCCCCAGCCATAAAATTATTTTCGTTGCTACTTCATAACTGTAATTTTGCTACTGTTCTGAATCGTAATGTAAATATCTGATATGCAGGATGTATTTTCATTGTTACAAATTGACCATAATTAAAGCATAGTGATTAGTCACAAAAACAATATGTAATTATATATGTGTTTTCCGATGGTCTTAGGTGACCCCTGTGAAAGGGTCATTCGACTCCCAAAGGGGTCGCGACCCTCAGGTTGAGAACCGCTGGTCTAGAAGGTCCAGGAGAGTGGAGGGGTGGAGCCTGCTAGGCCGGGGGAGCGGGGAGGGGCTGGACTCCCTTCTGCCCCCTCCCCCACACTCAGGAGCCCTTTGTGACCAGACCACAGCCCTGTGATGCGAACCTGGGCCTCTAGGCCGCAAGCCACTCCCAGCGCTCAGTTGCCTGAGGGCAGCAGTGCGATTCAGATGATGGAGAACCCCCTCTTTTCTCTGAAAAATGTTATTGCTACCTGGCAGAACACCAGTCCTTCCTGGGTATTGGATACCATCTTTGGCCTCCTGTGCGGACTGCTGCTCTTCCTTGTGACAGTCCATTTCTGGGAGAGAGATCAGTCCTTACCACCACCAAGGAAACATAGAAACAGCAGGAAGGTAAGGCGCCCTGGGCCCAGAAAAAACAGAGGTGATCTTTTTTCCAACCTTATATCCACTTTTCTGAATCACCTAGAGAGACTCCCCAGACGGGAAGGGATAGAATGCCTGTTGTCAGGAGAGAATCGAACTTCATCCTTCAAGGAACAAGCCACGTGGGGCAGGGGTTAGAGCAGGAGGGAGGATTTCTGTGCAAAGATCTCCGACCAGGAGGCCAGGTGCGGTGGAGGGCTCTAGGGCACAGTGACCAGTGGCCAAGGGTTGGATACTAAGAGTTGGATCGCTGTGGGGGACAGGCCCAGAGCCCTGGCTCACCAGCCGCCTTCCCACAGCAGGCATCTCGGGTGAGCCTCCCCTCTGTTGGGGGCTGGTCAGAGGGCAGGGCAGAGACCCTGAGAGCGGGGAGCAGAGGCTGGGGTGGGGCTGGAGCCGCAGGAAGCAGAGTCGTGGCGCAGGGCGCTCCTACGGGCCTGCAGGTCTGAGTTTCTCGGTGTGTTTCTCGGGTGGAGGAACAGTGATGGAGGAAGTCCATGGTCGGTCTCAAATAGAAAACCTTTCTTTACTTTTTGCAAAGAAGAAAACCTGCGATGATGCTGATCCACTTCAAAAATAAAAGGGGGAAACCCAGAGCGCCCCAGTAGTTCCATGTAGAAGGTCATATTGTTCACGAACCCTGAGCGCCTGCTGCTGGTCTAGAGAGAGGAGGGTGAGCACGGGGTCCCAGCCCCTCGTTTGTGTCTTGTCTCCCAGCGTTCAATGGAGCCTAAAAGGAGGAGCAGGAGCAGGAGCAGGAAGAAAAGTGGAGTTTTGAAAGGTGAGCTGCCCCTCAGCCCTGTGCCCGAGAGTTGGCCTCCATGGCCCAGGGCCAGGGCCGGGAGGATGCCAACCGCAGAGCTGGGGAAGGAGGTCAGAAAGCGGATACTTCCCAGCAGGGATGTTAGGGACCAATAGTGCCCGATGGGGAGGTGGGACCTCCAGGTCCGACTGTGGGCACGGTGTTGACCTTCGCTCAGATCCCTCCGAGGTGCCCCCTGCCTCCCCCACCCTCAGGGATGTTGGGAGGGCCACAGATGTAGAGGATGTGAAAGCACTTTGTAAATGACAAAGCACTCCTGTTACAAGCCTTGCCGTCACTGCCAGGGTTCATGTGACCTTGGCCCTGATACTTGGGCTCCGGAGTCCACTCTCCCAGGTGTCTCTCTTAAAGGGCCACCAGGCCCTGCTCCATCATGTGACCCAGTCTCCTGCTTTGCAGCCTGCAGAGAGTGCCTGCAAGAACTAGAGGAGGCTCGGAGCCTCATTTCTCTCCTTGGAAGGTAAAGCATCTCCCCCTTCTCTCCTGAATCTCTGATGTGACTCCGGGGCTTAGAGGCTGCCTTGGACTCACCTGGTTGGGGGCGAGGGGACCATGGGTTTGGGTTTGGCTATGGCCCTGGGGTGAGGGACAGCAGGAGCATGGGGAAGTCAGCCTGGGGGCCATGGAGAACCCTGTGCCCCAGGTGCCCACCACCGCCAGGCCTGCCCACCTGCTCCTGGCTGCAGCCTGTGCCTCCATCTCCTGCAGCCACCTTGGGAGGCCCCCTGAACAGGGTGGCCTTCATCAGTTCTCCTGTCAAGACTCTCCTGATGAGGTGTGCACAGCAGCGCCCGCTGAAGCCCACCTGCCGGACGGAGCCCACCTGCCCGGCGGGGAGCCCGCGGAAGATGCTGCTCCCACCAAATCCCCGTCGGCTTCTCTGGCTCCTCTACCTCTGGCCTCTACCCTGTCAGCAGAACATCAAGACCAATCTGACTTGAAGGGAACCCCACTGGGTACCATTGCAAAGAGCTCACCTCCCAGTAATGCCATTGTGGCACTGCCCAGCCGAGCCATCTCCCGAGTTGGCCACTCAAGCTGTCCCCTTCCAGCCCTGACCTGGTGGCAGGAGGCTGCCAGAGCCTTGTACCTCTCAACCTCATCACAGCGCAAGTCCCAGCAAGAGCACCTGTCCCACCACCCACCCAAGGCCTCATTCCGGGGAGACCCCACAGACAGGCAGGTAGAGCCTGGTAGCCTCGCATTTGTCAACCCTGGAGTCCAGAGGCTGCTGGAGATTCTGCTCACCAAGAGGGCAGAACTGATGATGTGGAAGGAGAAGGAAAAGGAGGGGTCACTTTCAAAACAAATGGTCCCAGGATGCCACCTGCGCTCTTTGGGGAGTATGTGGAAGTCCCTGGGTGCTGAGCAGGACACCCCAACCCCCCAACCCCGCTGGAGCCTGAGGGACAAACAAGAGCAGGTGCCTGGTTCTCAGCAGTCACATATCAAGTTCCTGGAGGAGCATCTCCAGCACAAATGCAGCCAGCTCTTCTGGGGTCTCCCCTCTCTGCACAGCGAGTCCCTGGTGGCTACTGCCTGGGTTTCAAAGAGCTCTTCTTACCTACAGCCTCTTTCAGTTTTATTCAATGGAAACTCTAATGACTTCCCAGTTCCAGTGCAGCTTAGAGCACCGGCAGGGCTTTCCCAGGCCCCACCCTTGCCCCTTCCTGGGGCCCAACCCCTACCTTCCCAGCCCCCACCTCTGGCTCCGATCCAGACCCAGACCCAGAATCTCACATCCTCCCTCTCAATCGGATCACCTTCTTCTCCGCACCAGATGGGGACCTCTGGGGTGTCTTGCCCTACTGCCCAGAACAAAAATATCCCTTGCATCCCAAATGAAATTCAACATCTGGAATGTTCCTTGTTGCAGAAGCAACAGAAAAGGGAGAAGGCTTTACCCTCTGTGACCAAAAGATCTCAGGACGTCTTTAGCCAACCCACTCCCAACCTTCCCCAGCATAGTGGGGTCTCCCAAGGCCCCGGGTCAGTTTCTGGTTTTCAGAGGGACTTTATCAGCCCTAATCTCCAGAAGCTACATCTTCAAAAGGGGCTCGTGGAAGATGAGCAGCGTGGTGGTCTGCACTTCAAGGTCCAGGTGTCTCTGGAATTGAAGCAGCCTCAAGGCCAAGTGCCCCAGGTGTGTCAGGTACAAGATAAGCAGGGGCCCTTGCATGTCTCTGTGTTTGCAAGTAAAAGCAGCCAGGACCCACAGAAGATGGAGTCCAGGCACCAGAGAAAGTCCCAAGGGAAGGGCCAGCCAAGCAAAGACGTCAGTAGGCGTCTACGGCAATGTAGGAGGAAGAGGAGCCCAGAAGGTCTCTCCAGAGACTCAGCTACCTTTGTAGTGAAGGCTCTGGGAATCAGCTCCAAAAAGAAGTCAGAAAGAGACTTGAAGCCCCCAAAGAGTGACTCAGGAACTTGCTTACCCAGAAGCACAGATCAGAACCATTTGGTCGGGAAGTTAGAGCAGATCGATCAGGACTTGGACCCTCTGAGAGTCGATCAACCCTGGCTAGCTGACAACCATGCTTTTCCCAAGGGCAACACTCACATGGAAACCAGAAATCCAGCAACTTCAGAGAGTCGGGAACATTATGTGAACACCTCCCGCGAGCTTTCCTTCCTCAGTCCCAGCACTCGACAGATGCTGGAAGTACATTTTCTAAAGTTTCAGGTGAGGTGCGAGTGTGGCCTGTCCCTCCCGGCCTTGGAGCCCATAAATCTCAAGCTACATGAGGCTCAATATTCGCACCTTCCACAGTCGCCTTTGCCCGGTTCAGCTGCTTGTGTACCCGAGGTCCACTCAGAAGCCAAGTTCACCAAGGCCTTGGGAAAACCTCCTCAGGCCTTTTCAGAAGAGGTGATAACAAAAGAGTCAGGTCGCCTCCCCACCACCTCTGCGAATGCAAGTAAAAGCAGCCAGGGGTCCTTTGAGAAAAGCCAGACGTCCATTGAAGGGACACCGTCTGGTTCTGGCCATGGGCTCTCAGAGGCCCCTCGGACTAAAGAGGAGAACAGGCCGTCTTCTCAGTCCCTCACACCCAACCTCCGCGGAAAAACCCAGCAGAACGGTACTGTCATGGCTGTCAAGAAAAAGAGCCCGAAGCCAAATCCAAGTTCAACAGTAGCCAGGAAGGAGGCAAAGCAGGAGAAAGGGACTCAGACTCCAGAAGATCCCTGCCAGAGACCAGCGATACTAGAAAAGAAGGTATCATCCCACTCTTCAAGGGCTGAAGAGTCCAGGAAGGCAGTGGAGGCTGAGACGGATCCTGCTTGGGAAGTCATTGTGGGACCCAGCGTGCTGGGCTATATCCAAACCACTAATATGGATATGAAGAGATCAGGGTCTCCAGGACCCACTCAAAGGTCCTCACCCCTTGCAAACTCAGTTGCCCAAGATCTAAAAGAGCCATGCCTTACAACAAAGAAGACCAGTAAGTATGAGCTCCAAGGGAAGGTAGAGTCAGGGAGCCAGCTTCCAGACCACGCCCCTGGCTTGCTTCTTCCAGACTGTTACAGTGACGTATTCCTGCAAGACTACGCCACCGGCATGCTCATCCAAGACGACGTCACCAACGTGCTCCTGCAAGACCCTCACACGGATGTGCTGCTCGCTGCCGACATCTTGGCTTCTCACTGGGCACTGTGCGGTTCCCAGGGGAAAAAAACCAGTGGGGACATGCCAGCTGCCCAGGGGCCATATAACCTCATATGGAGTAGACAGAGCAGCCAGGGGCAGCAGGCACCCGGGATAGCCAAAGTTAAGGCCCCCTGGCAGAGCCAAAGAGAAATGTTGGTCCCCACTGATCAGAGGGAGGACAAGAGGAGGCCCAAACCAGGACCGCACAAAGAAGGGCTGGCAGAACGGAGGACCTCACAAGCCAGAGGGATGAGCCACCCCCCTCATGTGAGGGGTAAAGGAGACACCCTCGGGAGGAAATACCTCCAACGCCTGCCAGAGGAAGAAATGGTTTTTGTAGAATGCAACTGTACAAAAAAGATGAGGCACTCTCTACAGGACAAAGGATCAAAAGACCCCCTTCAAAAAGGCCTGCCTGCCTCAGCCATTGGCCGGAGCCAGGAACCAGTCAAAAGCAGATCGTGTGTGGACACTGGGCCCGCTGAAGCTCAGGCGATCATGACAGCTGTGGGGCAGATCCTGGTGGAGAAGTTAGCATGTCACCAAGAACTTCATGGCCAGGAGTTCAATTAGCACACAAAACAATTCCAGGCCCCAGGAGGTGGGCATGGCCACAGGGTCTCTCCTCTCCAAAGCAGAGAAGAGTAATGAGATGACCTCCAGTCACCGAGCCTGGAAGTGGAAGAGGACATAGTGGGGAAAAATGGTGATGGAAAAAATAATTTAAAAATTAAATTTAAAAATCGTCTCTCCTCTGGTCAATTGCAATGTGCTTCTCACTTTTTTCCTGGTAGAAGAATTTTTTTTAAAAAAAATTCAGTTCATAGAAAACCTGTTTTTTTTCTTCTTAGCACATCCTCTGCACTAATGCCTTCTTCCTACCACATATTTGTTTCTGAAATATATGATTTTCCTCAGAGCTGGTGGCCTCCATCTGTGCCCTGCAGGGAGAAGAGAAGGGATCAGGGTTCGTTCTTCCTGGAGGAAGGGGGCCATGAAGGGAGGTTGACAACACTGAGGCACACCTACCCTCACCCCCATTCCCTCAATACACCTGTTTCCATAATTCATCATCACAAAGACAAATGAAAGCATTCAGGGGTTGTTACGATGAGCAAAAACGTTTAAGATCTGGCTCAGCCGTCCTCTCTGCCTTCTCTCTACTTGAACTTATGCGCTACAGGGGAAGGGATTACAGAGGCTGAAATACCCTCAGGCCCCAGGAAGGGTCACAATGTGGGAAGGGGCCTTTGGCAGCTGTGCCAGCCCTGAGTCCAGAGGTGAGAATCCCCCAGCCCTGCCTCCCTCAGTCTCTAGCTGGAGGCTTCACTAGCTGAGCTGATCCAAACAGCAGTGTCAACAGAGTGGTGACCAGACACGTACAGCAATGCACTTGGAAAAAAGCAAAGGCAGCTCAGATGATGCAAGATCACCCAGATGTCAAACACCCTGTGCTTGCACACTTGCCCATTCATGTCAGTAACTTTTTAAACATTTGTGATAACAATGCCAGTTGGGCTTCTTCCCTTGGGGCCTCCCTGGATGGATTAATGCAGACAGCTGCTGCTTTAGGCTTTCTGATTGGTTCCTACTGGTTTGGGGCAAAACCAAAAGCTTCTGAGCCAAGAGCAAGGTAGAAGAGCGTCCAAGAGCCCCTGGGGAGATGGAGGAGACAATCAAGAAACCACTGGGAACCTCATCTGCCAAGAGACCTTCCTAGCACCTGGTGGGTCAGAAAGGGGCAGGGGAGGGGGGCCTCCATTCACCTGCCCCCTTTGCAGCTCACTGGCATCTCATTCAGGTGCAAGCAGGAAAAAACTCAGACCTCTGGAACAGAATGCCCCTCAGGCAGCCAGCTCAGCATATATTATCCCCATGATTGTTTGGAGATGAAGCAGGCTCCATTCTGGGAAGGGTGACGTGGACCGACAGAGCCTGGCTTTGTAGCCAAGCAGAACTGGATTGGAATTTGGGTCATAGCTAGGGGACCCAGTGGCACCTTTTAATCCGAGTCTCAGATTTCTCATGTATCAAATGGGAACTATAATATCTACTCGTAGGGTAAATGGAACCATGTACATGTAGTGTCAGAAACTAAGCCTGACTCACAGTTGGGTGTCATAAGTGGTACCTCTTAGGGAAGCGGTTCTCAACCTGTGGGTCGCGACCCCTTTGGCGGTTGAACGACCCTTTCACAGGGGTCGCCTAAGACCATCCTGCATAACAGATATTTACATGACGATTCACAACAGTAGCAACATTACAGTTATGAAGTAGCAACGAAAATAATTTTATGGTCGGGTCACAACATGAGGAACTGTATTTAAAGGGCCAGAAGGTTGAGAACCACTGTCTTAGGGAGACGGAAGCCTGAGGGGCTGGGCCTTTTTTGATTGGCCAGAAACCAGCCCTCTTATCACCTTGCTGATATCGCCTCATCTGTGGACAATGACTACTTTTCTCTTTCTCATGGAATGGTGACCCTCAAAAAATTTTTTTCATGAGAATTACCTGGATTGCTAGTTAAAAATACACCTTCCCAGTGTCCCTTACCCAAAATTTCTATTTCAGTAGGTGAGGGTGGGGTCCGGGAATTGCAGTTTTTTACCAAGAATGCCCCTCCCCACCCCACTCTAAATGCAATTCTGAGAAACACTGCTAGTGTTTATCATCTAGGATTTACAGAATGCTGACAAAGCCTGGTTGATGTAAATGCAAAATATTCTTCTAAAGCCCCAAATAGAAATGAATACTCCCTAACCCCTCTGGGTGTGCAATTTGCATAGTTATAGCACCTTTTCACCACATGCAAACGAGACCCAAATGAATCCTTATTTTGACCCATAAAGAATGTCTTCTGGTGGTGAGGTTGGGAAGAGACAGAAGGGCCTGGATGCCATAGGGAAATTACCACCAGCCCACAAGACACCTGGCTCCTACCTTTTGGTCTGTAGTTCACTAGCTGTGCAACCTTGTCATCTCACGTTAGCATCTCTAGATCCATTTTCTCTTCTGTAAAGTGACAATGGTAATCCCTGTCCTGTCTACGTCGCAGGGATACTATGGGCTTAAGTGAGATGAACAGGTTTTGCAAAGGGCAAACTGGTTTGTGAGTATGGAAGACTTAAGTGTTAGAGTATTGATTGGGCTGGAAAGTAGAGCCCAGTTAGGTATCAGTTGGAGTCTAACCAAGAAAGCAGAAAGGAACTCACTTGTTTTCAACAGAGAGAATTGAATGAAGGGGATGGGTCACACTAGTGTTGGAAGAACTGCAAAGCCAAAGAGAGGGTGACAAAGTAATAGGTTAGCAAGAGCAGAAAGTCACTAGTAGGTATAGACTGAAGAGAGAAAAGGGGGAGGTATGCTGCTAGAGTCCCTGCTGGGTTTGTCGAGGGAGAAATGGAGTGGCCGCAGTGGGAAGAAATACCTGTCTCTCACTTGCCTCCGGACTCCTGTTGGCATTTCCACTGGCTGAACCCAGGCTGAAGCTGGCTGGCAGGAGAGCCGGAGAAACCTCTACAGCTTCAGCCATCAGACCTGAAGGAAGAGAGCAGAAAGGCAGCAGGGCTGAGAGAGGAAAAGGGTAGGGAATGGATCTCAGGGCAAACAGACCAGAACAAGCACATCTTTCCATTGTCTGCCTGGACATAGGTCTACCCACAGGCCTTGTTAGCTGAGTTGTCTTGGAGCTGAGAAAGCTATGCTACTTCACCCTGCACCTCAGCAGCACTTAATGGCTCAATTAAAAAGTTAAAAATGGCCCAAAGGCTGTAAGATTCTAGGTCAGGCACTGCCTCCACAATGACCAAGATTCATGAGAAAAGATATGGCATGGAATCAAGTTTTTATTTGAACTTTTGGTCAATACTGTTTTCCCTTGTCCACAGAGACAGTAAGTATGCGTAGGGAATCTGGCCAACGTTTGCCTGAGCCCTACCTAGTTTAATAACGGTCAACTAATTAATCAGATCTCCTGAGTTTTATAGTTAATCAATCTACCATGCGAGTGTTGAAATTTTCAGGTCATTAGAATCCCATTATCTCTGTTCATTGGGAAATGGTCTCTAAACATAACTTAATGCTTCTCTGATGAAGATGCCTTAGGGTTGTGCAGGGACCACATGGGAATGGAAGGAGCCGAAGGTGCCTGTTCATTAACAGGGATTTCTGGTTAAAGGAGCGCTGTTGACTGTAGAGGTGGTGCTGTGGGCTCCTTTAGAAAACTGCCTACTTACTGGGCAGCACACCCCTCCAGGGAGAGAATGAAAGTGAGAAAGGGAAGGAAACACTGAGCCATCCTCTGCTCTGGCTTCCTCATTATACGAGCAGACTGAGTCCTATAGAGTCCCCTATCCTGCCTTTGCAGAACTCTCCCTAAGCAACCAGAGACCACATGTGGCCTGTCTAGATTTGCAATCCACCATGAATGACAATGTCAGGATGCATGATCAGCTACAACGTGATTCCAAGACCACACGCATTGGCATCACATGTCACACTAGCACGCACCCCCTTCCTCAGACCCCTTTCCAGACTCAAGCTCAGACTCTGAGGATGCGGCTAGGAAGTCTGCCATTTTCACAGACTTTCCTAGATGGTTCTTACACACACTAATAAGAACACATGAACATGCGTTGAATGAAAAATGAATGAAAGAATGAATGAAACAACAAAGGTGGACGCTATCCACAATTTAGCCACTCTTCTACTGAAGGACATGACTGTTTCTACTTGTCCATTTTACAAACAGCGACGCAATAAAGTGAATTTTATTTGCAAGAAAAAAGACAATATGTTGTGCACACATTTGTATTTTCTTTCTGGATTTCACCGGTGCAAAAACAGCTGCTCACCCCGGAAGAGATCGGGGCCTTTTGTGAAATGAAGGCGCAACAATCCACAGTCCTGAACCAGCAGTGGGTTGGCGTTCTTTCCTGTTACCTTCTGGCTAACATTCATTCTCACTGGACTTTTCAGTGTTGCCAATTTGAAGGATATGGGGCGGCCTCTCACATAGCGTTTCTCTGATTAGTGAGGCTGAGCATCGTTTCATGCGTTTAAAGATGCTCATTTTAAAATTGACTTTTTAAAAAGATTTTTTAGCGAGCTTAAGTTGTGAGGAGATATATGTCTTTTAACCTGGTACTCCCCGCAATAAAGTGAATTTTATTTGCAAGAAAAAAGACAATATGTTGTGCACACATTTGTATTTTCTTTCTGGATTTCACCCGTGCAAAAACAGCTGCTCACCCCGGAAGAGATCGGGGCCTTTTGTGAAATGAAGGCGCAGCTGGGGAAATCCTTAGGAAGGGCCTGCTCTACCCTGGAAAAGACGGGTCACTTCTGAAAGTCAGGGCAGTCCACCCGGGGCCAGCTTTCTTCTCCCGCGGCCTCTGAGGACTGATCTTCCTGTTTCTTCTCTGGGACTGCCGTCTGGTTTTCTTCCTACAGAGGGGACCTTCCTGTTGCCTGCAAAGAGGGACTTTGTGACGCAGAGTCTTTGTCTCCCCTCCAATCTTGGGGCCCTCTGGGAGTTATCGGTACTTGTCACTAGAAGCCGCTCAACAAATGCG